GAATGGGTCAGCTGGGAGCACACAGCTTTGAGAGGTCCCGTGTCCTGCCAATATACTTTATGGGGGCTGGAGACAGGCAGGAAAACTCTCATCACTCAAAAAGCCCCTCCTTCCAAAATGGGCTCCTGAGAGCAGAGCTGTAGCCACCATCCACGTGGTCAGTCTGGTCACGGTGGATTCTAAGGTGCAAATGAGCCCACACGGCTATAGCTTCCCTCGGCATGTAATACGCTGTGGAAAAGCCGACTCTGTGCTCCTCGCAATGTGGGTGGGCAAGAGCCAGAGGACACTCAACTCCACTGTTTACACTTCTTTGTCCTGTCCTCAAGTTATCTTTCATTCTTGCCTTCTGCTCGTAAGCCTGATTTGTCTCAACTATCTCACTATCCTAAAAACATCAACTTTAAGGCCTATATCCAGAAGAGTTGAAAACGTTTATTCAAAAAATGTTCACAGCAGCACTACTTCCAATAACCAAGACATGGAAGCAACCTAAATGTCCATCAACAGAGGAATGGATAAAGACAATGTGGTACATAGTGGAATATTACTCAGCCATAAAAAAGAATGAAATAATGCCATTTGCAGCAACATGGATAGGTCTGCTTCTGGGAAGCCTGACCAAAACCATCAGGAGATGTTTGGGGAACAAGTGAAGGCATTGTGGCTCCAGGGACGCTCCTGAGGAGGTGGTGGTAGGAGCGGCTTTGAAGCGCCCAGAGCGAGGGTGATACTGGAAATAGTGAAAAGTCTCCAGGAGCCTCCACTTAAAAAAAACAGGCACACAGGCTCTGGCCCATACAGGAGCACATGGGCCAGCACACAGGCTCTTCAGCATTCCCACGGACACCGTGAGCCCAGAGCCCTCTTGAAGGACCATTCTGGATGGGCTTATTTTCGGGGTAACTGAGCACGTGCCCTGTTATTGATCCCCGCCATCCATCATTCTCCATCCTTGTGCCCACTTCCCAGAATTGGCGGGGGGGTGTGTGTGGTGGGAGTTGGAGGTGGGCACTGGTGGCTAAATGCTTTGCCTCCTGGGGTCTCTCTGGATGTTTCTCAGGCTGTCCTTCTGGAATCAGTCCCATTGCCCAGAGCAGCTTCCACAGTCATCTGTGTGTTGGTTTTCCTCCTTCCCTGTCTCCTGGGTCTGCCTCTTGGGATCACCTCCTAATTAAACTGCATTCAAGCCCTTGCCCCAAACTGTGCTTGCAGGGAATCGAAAACCAAGCCAGTGTTGTGCTTAACGTGGACTTTTTCCAGGCAGCTCGGGTCATCATTACCTACCCAGGGGCTCCGTATTTACCTCCAGCTCTGAGCTGGAATAACGTGTTGCCCTCGGAGCCACCCGAATGCCCTCCACTAAATGCCTAGCTGCTCCTCTTTGGGATTCCACGTCCGATTCTGCTATGTTTCTCTTTGTTGCTGGCAAGTCTCCAGCAGGACTGCCACCCTCCTCCCAGTTTACGATTTTGCCTTTAATCTACTACAGTCTGGAAACCATATGATCAAATGTGATGGACTTGTGTCTAACATAGAAGTGAACAGATCCCAAAGGCAGGAATGTTCCTTTGAGCAAATGCACATGCTTTCATCCAAGGCAGCAGAAACTTATGTTGGCTGCTCTCAAGACATGTTTCTTTTTCCTGGTTTAGAGCTCTAATTTGGAGAGCATAGAGGTTGGGTAGTGAAATTTTGCATGAGTGAGTTCTTGTATTTCAATTTAAATTGACGATGTGTTTGTGGGCAAAGGCAGTGGATCTAGTAACACTTATTTCAAATGCCCTAAGGCTTCAGCCTGCCCTTTATTAGTATATGCTGACTCCATAGATGTAAGTTTTAAGACTCTGAGGGTCTTCACAAGTTTGCCAGCTTCACAGATGCCAAAAAATGTCATGCTCCACAAAGAATGATGACTGACACACACAGTTTGGAGCGAAAGTAGAATCTGTCCAGGGATTGAATTAAAACCTCCCAGGTTTCCCAGGCGGCCCTAGTGGTAAAGAACCTGCCTGCCAATGCAAGAGATATCAGAGACACAGGTTGGATCCCTGGGTTGGGAAGCAGGACATGGCAATCCACTCGAGTATTCATACCTAGAGAATCCCATGGACAGAAGAACCTGGCAGGCTACAGTCCATGGGAACGCGAAGAGCTGGACACAACTAAAGTGACTTAGTTACATTCAGCCTCCTAGTCTAACCTCTTTCCTCTCCCAAGATGTCACATGTCCCCTCTGTGGACAGGAGGAGATGTGTGCCCACACTGGCTTCAGGTAACTCCATGGGATTCTGCCCATGGAAAGAATTCTGTTCTGGGCTTGCCTCTTTCCTTGGCACCGTTCCCAGCCTCAAGGGCATGGGGCAGCCTCTGGGCACCATGGCTGATGGCACAACTGGGGAAAAGCCACAAAAAAGCCACATTTCAGGGACAAGCGGAGAACAAATTGCAGTAGGTGTGTCAACGGTAACCCACCCGGAGCCCTGGGGGTGGCATGGGAGCGAAGCCAGGGGTCAGTGAGCTGAGTGCTGAGAACAGGGGTGGCAAAAACGTGTAGGTGTTGTTGGACCTGGGAGCTCCCAGGACTGAATGGTGAATGGGAGTTTCCTTCTTTGCCAGGCTCAGTCCCACAGGGTGGCAGTGGGCTCCCCTCTGGTGAGGGATGAAATCTAGGCAGAGGGAAGCATGTCCCACTGGGGCCCTGGCCCCTAGCCAAGCCACGGCTATGCAGACCCCAAAGCCTGGTGTACTGGGCAAGCTGGCAGGTGACAGGAGGGGTAAAGTTTGAGGATCACAGTTGTTCAAAGACATCAGTGTTGATAAAGCATTGTCACGGGGGTGGTTACTGTGTGTGGTTTGAGGGCTGGAGTTCACACAGAGCAGGCTGACAAGGATGTGGCTGGAGGTTGAGTGTGGTCGGCTTCAGGGAGGCGGGAGGCTAGGTGGTTGTCGAGTGGTCAGCAGGGCTGGTACTCGATGCGCCTGAGGATGCTGCAGCCTCGGTGAGGCCCACGTCCCTCTGAGGTGTTGCACGAAGGGAGGCAGCAAGATGTGGACAACTCTCCCCACCTGGGAATCCTCTGGGGCCACCTGAGAAGGAATCTCACGGGTTAGAGCTTCAACAGGGATGCAGAAGCCCCCTCATCAGGCAAGCTCATCACCTCAGTGACTGCAGGGAGAGACTCCTCAAATCTGGCAATGGAAGAAAACGCAATCCCTTGAAAAAGGCGACTGAACTGGCTTCCATGTGGAAATCTGTGAACTTCCCAAATCCATGACTCCCCAAGCCAGAGGTGAAATCTGGTTATGAGAAGCAATCAGTTTCTTGGTTGAGGGCTATTTGGCTGAAGCACGGGGCTGTCAGGAGTTCAGACCCGGACCCCTGCTCCCAGAGAGCCACTATGCATAACTGGACTGGGAGTGTCCCAGCAGCCACTCAGCTCCTGGGTTCCTAGGACTTGAGGTCACCCAACCCTGACCTTCTCGCCTTCACCTTATTTCTCTCCCTTGCAACCCCCGACCTCCACTGGTGATAACTTCAGCTCTTACAAAGACACTAGTGAACCTCCTTCCTCTCAAAATTTCTGACGCCCACTCTGCTGCCTCCAGCCCCCGGCTGCTCTAGGCTCCTGTAGCCCCTCCCTGGACCCATCCCTGCGGGTGCTGATGGTGCTTCTGTCCTGGCCTGGCCCTGCCCCTGCCCTCTGCTGCCTCACGGTGGGCTCTTAGCCTTCCTCCTTATGCCCACCCCGCCCCCCACCCTCCCTGGCTGCCTCTCTTTAGTCCTCAACACAAATTATTTGTATTTTGTAGAGAGAATTCTATATTAGTAGAATATGCAGGAACCCAAGCTGGGTCCATGCTGCTTGTATAAATTGTACAGACCATGAAAAAAAAAAAAAAAAAGCTGTGTTTCGTCCTGTGTGCTTGACTGGCCCAGAGAAGTCAGGACATGGAATCTTCCCAGGGAGGTTGCTCTCCAGATTCTTCATTGCCAGCTCAAGGAGTTTCCAGAAAATAACTCGGCCCCATTGTCCTGAATGCTTAGTGCAACCTTGCAGGAGCATTAGGGTTCCCCACCCCAAAACAGGAATGTCTTTGACTATGAAGTATCTCTCTATTAAGGCTGACCCCAGAGTCTCTGAAATTTCTAAGAAATAAATCTTAACACCCCCTTCAGTGTTCTGAAATAAATGTCACAGTTAACATCAGCTCTCATAGAGAATTTAAAAATTAGATGTTCTAATTGTAATAAGCTAGAATAAAAGGCAGTTTTTAAAAAGTATTTATTTACTTGTTTATTTATTTGGCTGCATCCAGTCTTAGTTGTGACACAGGGAATCTTGGTTGCATCATTCAAGATCTTTCGTTGAGATGCACGGACTCTGTAGTTGCCACGTGCAGGCTTAGTTGCCCTGCAGTATGTGGGGTCTTAGTTCCAGGACCAAGGATTGAATCCAAGTCTCTTGCATTGCAAGACAGATTCTTAACCACAGGCCCACCAGGGAAGTGCCCAAAAGGTAGTTTATAATAAAATATTATTCATCTCTGTTGGATTAGACCTCAGACCAAAGACTTGGTGAAGTAGCCGGAGACTTTCACCTACTTCCGTACTGAGTAAAAGATGAATTTGAGAGAAGTTGCTTTTCTTCTGTACTCTACTTCTTAAAATAAGGGTTAAGTATTGCCCAGGGGAATTTTTTCCCCAAATCCCAAACAATTTGCATAAAATTGCAAAGAAAATAAAGCACAATCTTCCCAGAATGTATTTGTGAGGGGCAGTCTTGGAAAAGTGAAAGTGTGCAGAAACAACAAGGCAGAGACAGCTTTGAACGTGTATGAACAGAGATCACTGCCCGCAGGATTTCACCCCCAGCTGTGTCTGGAGGTCTGTTCACAAGTCTTGGGAGAAGTAGGACCACCTGCCCCCATTCCACCCCAGTCGTGCAGGATTGTCTCCCTTCACACTCCTACCCGACACCCTTGCAGAACACGCTGCATCACCGGGACAAATCTGATCGCCCGGCATGCCTAAACACCACGAGGTGGCGGTGAGCGCGGCACCTCAGCCTCCGCACCGGCCGCTCCTGGGCTCGGGCACGTTCCAGAGTCGCAGGAAACAGAAGCCTCCGCAGGGGCTGCCATCCGCAAGCGTCCCAGACCACGGAGTCCCTGTGGTCCGTCGTCCTTCCTAGGGCTCCCAGGTTGACTTCTGGGAAAGCTATGCTCCCAGTTCGCCACGTGGCGGCGCCCTGAGACCCAGAATCGGAACCTTTGAAGGTTAGTGAGATGTTGAACTGTCTGCAGAGGCAACAGGAGGCAGCAGGAGGCAGCGTGAGATGGAGGCAGTGGGAGATGCAAACACTGTGAGAAAGAATTCATTACTGGACTACTATTGTGCTAAATTGTCTAATCTTTGGCAGAACCATCCAGTTTTCCAATATCCACTGTTGGCCCTGAACAGTTTTGAAAATGGCATTTCCAATATCCCCAATAATATAATTTTGATATATAAACAGCAATGTTAACATCCTCTAGAAATACCAATGGATACAGGTGAAACAAATGCAGTGGCCAAGCAATTAGCCAGTTCCTTCCTATCCCCTGCCAACATCCCTCACAATTCCCTGCTGCTGTTGCTGCTAAGTCACTTCAGTTGTGTCTGACTCTGTGCGACCTCATAGACAGCAGCCCACCAGGCTCCACCGTCCCTGGGATTCTCCAGGCAAGAACACTGGAGTGGGTTGCCATTTCCTTCTCCAATGCATGAAAGTGAAAAGTGAAACTGAAGTTGCTCAGTCGTGTCCGACTGTTAGTGACCCCACAGACTGCAGCCTACCAGGCTCCTCCATCCATGGGATTTTCCAGGCAAGAGTACTAGAGTGGGGTGCCATTGCCTTCTCCCACAATTCCCTAGAAATAATAATAATAATAGATGACATTGTTGAGAACTTACCACATCTCATTGTTCTGGGATCTCTACATGAATATTTTATCTTCACCAATAACTATGAGATAGGTACTATTATCCCCACAATAAACAAGTATGGATGAGAAAACCGAGCTGCAGAGGGTTTCAGTAACTTGCCCAAGGTTGCCTTGCTGGCAAGTGGTGGCGAATCACTGGAGAACTGTGGAACTTTCCGGGCATCGGCGCAAGGACTCTTTTCTGCTCTAAGAAGGCACTTGGAAGGAACTTAGCCACCTTTTGTACTGCAAGAAAACAAAGCATCCTGCACCCAGCTTATTGTCATGCCAAAACCTGAGAGCACTGAAGATTACATAGAATAAAATGCACCAAGAAAAAAACCCGGTGAGATATTTTGTGACATGGTGGTGTGGCTTTCTTCATTCGTGGGTTCATCCTGAGCATTTCACCAGGTGGCTCTGACAAGGCATACATTTGCTCCCCAGCCCTGGGGCAGCTATAGAGAGTGGAAAGACCTAGAACTGCACAAAATCCAGCCCTGAGTTTTTAAGCTTGGCTGAGCATTAGAATCACTGGAGGAGTTGTGTGTGTGTGTGTGTGTGTGTGTGTGTGTGTGTGTGTGTATTTTAAATTGATATTTGGGTCTCCCCAGGCCAACTGAATCATCATCTCTGTAAATGGGGTCCTGTTGGTTTTTTGCCTTCCCCCAGGTGATTCCAGGGTTTAGTCAGCATTGAGAACCAACCTCTTCTGGCCAGAGAGGAGCCATGACTTGCCAAAGGGCAAATGTTGAAGAAGGAGGAGTCAAGTGTCCTGATTTCTTTCCAGAACCCATCAAAAAAAGCCCTACTGTGGCACCAGACCAGGACCACCTCACAAGAAGGCAGCAGGACCGAGGACCCCGGGTACACAGCACACTCAGAACTGTCTCTTGGTCTGCTTACCTCTGTCTGGGGGATGCTCAGCACCTCCTGCTTCCTGTCAACTCCAGCCTCAGGATCCTAGTGGCCCTCAGTGGTCAGGACTTGCACCACTGCGGGCTCAGGCCTGACCTCCCCAACCCGGAAGTGAACCCCCAACCCCCAACTCCGTCTCCTTTGTTACTCTACCTTCATCAGGTGGTTGGCTCAGCACATAAAATATCCAGTTACATTTGGATTTCAGATAAGCTAAGAATCATTTTTTAGTATAAATATGTCCCATGCAGCATGTGTGTGCTTATTTGTAAACCTGGCAACCCTGCTCAAAGAGCATAGTGACTCTGATCTCGCTCAGCCAACTTAAAAGGTCTGCAAAAAGCTTGCCCTGACTCCCGGCCAGTGCTTTTTCCCCATTTCCCCAGCACTGTCCAACACAGAGAAAGATTATTCGATTTTAACTTAACAAAGTGTTATATTTGGGGGAAAATATAATAAAGAGAAATGTCTGCTTGATTATCTTGCTCCTTTATTCCTGGCAGTAGACATAAAGACCACTTGGACCAGGAGCTGTAGCTCAGCGGGCATCCATCTGATGAAGATTTGTGATGTCCTCCTGTGTGCTGGGTATGGACATCCTTTCCCCAGACAGTGGCGCTCACGACCAGCTGGAAGCCAGCGGTCAGTGCAGCCTGGACTTGGACCAGGGCAGTGAAAACAAAGCTTTGGGGGCTGGCACCATGGGATCCTCAGTCACTCAGGCTCTCTTCCTTTCTGGAGAAGCAATGTTCCCCACCCTTGGAGGAGCTGGTCAGGATTATTATTAAAACAGATGCTTTGGGGAACTGGACCAAATGAGTCTGATAAAGTCTGTTCCTTTGGCAAATCTGCCAGACTACCTTCCATCACCTTAGAATTTAATTGGTTTGACTCTAAGGAAGCACGTCTTTTTAAACAACATCACTAGACAAGACAACATGACAAAGTTGTACTTTTTTGCCTAAAGCTGGCATCTTGCTCCTCCTTTCCCCTTAAACTCCACCTGCCCACGGTCAGTGGCTTCACTGTCTTCCCCATCTCCCAGGAGAGAAAACTGAGAGTCACCCCAGGTATCTCCCTCCCCCCATCTTCTAGCACCCACCCACCCCTGTCCCCCTCACCAAACCCTTTCTTTGCCCCAGGCTGTCTCTTGTGCTGGGAGGAGTCGCTGCCAGAGGCACCCTGAGGCTCCGCTCCGTCCGCACTGAGCATGATCCCGATTTCTCATTTTCATATTACTAATATTGATTCTCAAATTAATGGGTACAAAGCGATGCCTGTGTTGTTTGAATTTGCATTTCTGTAATTCACATTTCAGTCTTTTAATCCATTTGTGTAGGTACTGTTCAGGTCCTGACGACTTTTCATTCTATCCCCTTGCAGCTCCCAGCCCAAGTCAGGCAGGAGTCCTCACTGTTCTCCCTGCCTCTTGCTGTCAGGCTTCACAGGCATAAGCCTTCCTTTACATCCGTAATGAACATGCAGCCTGCTCGCTGTGCCCTTCGAGACTCCAGCTAGCTTTCCAGCCTTGCTTGTCTTTCCATCTGCTTTCCGGCCAGCCTGTTCCAGAGGCCTCAGCCCTGACCTCACCGCTTGCCTCTCTCCACCCCTTGGCTCATGCTCTGCTTGCACAATCTCAGGGCTCAGGGATCCAACACAGCTTCCCGAGGTCTGTTCTCATCTGACCTCTGCCTCCCCTGAACTCGCCAGCACCTGCTCGGCGCCCACTCCGTCGAGCTTGTGTTTTCATCCCAGACACCCCCTGTCTGATCTTTCCCGTCAGAACGCGAGCTCCTGGAGAGCCTGCTTACATCTGATTCTCTTCTCCCAACCCCTGAACTTCAGCCAAGCTAGTCCATGCTGTAGGCGTGGGCAGGGAAACGGGGCAGGAGGCTGGGCCACAGTTCAGTCCAGGGAGACCAAGAGTTTCTCCAGGCTGGGAACAGGAAAGGAGATATGGACAGAGGACACTCAGAGGCCCTCAGTGACAGGTTGGCCGTGAGGACTAAGGGGAGGAGAGGTTGGAGACCACGCCCCGCTCCTGGACTTGGTGACTTGCATGGCAGGGATCCTGGAGGAGCTGGGGACAGAATCTGGCCTACACGTGTGTGTGGCTGTCATGATAGAACACAAGTTGCTGAGCAGAGAGATGTGTCACCATGGAGCCAAACACCAGGCCTAAGACGGAAATTTGACACAACTAGAGAGTAGCCCCCAATCGCCACAACTAGAGAAAAGCCCGTGCAGCCTCAAAGACCCAGTGCAGCCAAAAATAAACAAACAAATAAATAAATAAAATTGTTTTTTAAAAAGATGGAGGTTTGAGGTAGTCAGCGTAGAGATGGGATCTGACTGCAAGGGTCCTCATGGGGATTACGCAGGGAGCCTGAATGACAGCCAACCCGAAGGGGACCAGCATGCAGGAGGTGAGGGGAAAACTGGTGGGGGTGCAGCCAGGCCTGGGGAGGAGGGTGGTGCCCTGAGAACTGAGAGAGGACCATTGCTGTGAGTGAGCAGCCCACAGGCACAGACACTCAGAACAGCAGGGCATCCGTCCCCGCCCACCCAGCTCCTGGTCCTCCTGGCTCCCTCCTCAGGGAACAGCCATCCTGTCAGCGGAGCAGGCAAAGCCACAGCGTTCACCCCCCCCAGGGCCCCTCTCACCTGATTTCTCCTGGACGCCCCAGAGGTGGGTGCGAACAGCTTGAGTCTTCCTCGACACCAAGTCAGACCTCCATCCCACCCCTCATCTTTCTCATCACCTCTGCTTTTATCCTCTTCCCTTTTCTTTTTGTCAATTAAAACCACATTTCCATGTGGTAGTGTACATGTTTCCAGGCTGCTCTCTCCGTTTGTCTCACCTTCTCCTTACCCACCCTCCATGACCACGTCCGTAAGTCTGCCCTCTATGTCTGCATCTCCATTGCTGCCTTGCAAATAGATTCATCAGTACCATCTTTCTAGATTCCATGTATATGTGTTAATCTATGATATTATATTGTAAAGCAGTTATACTTCAGTTAAAAATAAATAAATTTTTTTTAAAAACCCACCACATTTTGAAGCAGAGGAACAGAAACAGACATTGGCTCTTGAACTGGATGTCAAGAGAGGTTGGCCTCCATTTTGTGGAAATGGAGCTCTGGTATCGCAGGATGGAGATGAGACAGGGATGAGTATTAAATAACAGAAAAACACCAGGGGACATGCGTTACTTTATTCTTCAGACCACAACGCAGCTTTGATGGGTGCTCTGCAAAGCTTGTAGAAGGTCCTGTTAGGTATCATTCTCAGAGACCAGGGTAATGAAGGAGGCTCTGGGTGGCAGAGCCGGCCACGCTCCTCTCCTCCACCTTGGAGATGCAAATCCACCCCTTGCATCTGAAGAACCCAATTCTCAGCTCCCCTCACCATCTCTTGCCTAGTTGGGCCCAGAAGCCATCTGCCTAGGGTCCTGGTCCATCTGCCCTGCACCTATGGCTCCCCTGCCAGAGCCTCAATGGACACAGTGACCCTCACAGAGCCACAGCCGGACTTCAAGTCCCACTCCTGACTGGCATTGATGGGGAGTCCCGGAGAGCCCGAGCTCTGCCTGGGGGACAGCTGGACGTTCAGCCAGCGACACCGGCCCTCGTCACAAGCCAGCACCACGGTTCCCTCGGGATTGCTGTAGGTGCACCGGCTCCTGGCCGCCCTTTCCTCCGCAACCAGATCCCAGGCGTCCCCTGGCTCCCTGTCCTCAGGCCCTGGGGCCTGGAAGCCCAGGTGGTCCCGGGTGATGGGGCACACCAACTGTTCTTCCCTCAGCGCAGGCACCACCTGGCCCTTGAGGTAGGCAGGGCCGGCACAGTAGGTCTGGATGTTGAAGAGCCGGTCGCTGTACTGATGCAGCCAGCTAAAGAGATAGGCCAGGTGGCAGTCACACTGCCAGGGGTTCCCATACAGGGCCAGGTTGAACAGGTTGTAGTTGGTGTCGAAGATGCCGTCGGGGAGCGTGGTCAGGAGATTCCTGGAGAGGCTGAGCAGCTCGAGGTTGGACAGGTTCTGGAAGAGGGCGGGGTGCAGGACCGTCAGGTTGTTGCTGCTCAGATAGAGCTTGACCAGCCCCTTGAGGCCTCTGAACACACCGGCCGGCAGATGGGTGAGGGCGTTGTGCGAGAGCGTGAGGGACCCGAGGCTGGTCAGGTTGGCAAAAGCTGCCTCAGGGACGGTCTCCAGCTGATTGTGGGACAGGGACAGGCTGACCAGGCCGGGGGATTGGGCAAAGAGGCCGGCAGGCAGCGTCTGCAGCGCATTGCCCTGCAGGCTCAGGAAGGTCAGGTTGGGCAGGGCCGAGAAGACAGACCCAGGCAGGTGACCGATGGCATTGCGCTGCAGCCACAGCTTCTCCAGGCAGGAGAGCTGCGTGAACACTTCTGGGGGCAGCTCGGAGATGGAGTTTCCATCTAGGAAGAGTTCCTGCAGGCTGCCCAGACGGCTGAAGAGCCTCCGGGGCAGACGTGCCAGCTGATTGTTGCTCAGCCTCAGGGTCTGCAGGCGGCCGAGGGGGTGGAAGAGCTCCTCGGGCAGGTAGGCCAGGAGGTTCTGTGCCAGGTTGAGGGTCTTCAGATGTCTCAGAGGCTGGAAAAGCCTCTGGGGCAGGGTCTGGAGCCGGTTGCCCTGCAGCTGGAGGGACTCCAGGCGATCCATGTGCTGGAAGAGGCCCTCGGGCAGAGCCTCCAGCATGTTGAAGTTGAGGGTGAACTTGCCCAGCGAGATCAGGTTGGAGAAGATGTCGGCGCTGAGGTTGGAGAAGTTCCCCCCGGTGATCTCCAGGTCCTGGAGCCCTGGCAGGCCCCCGAAGGCATCCGGCCTGAAGTGGCACACCTGGGTGTTGAGGAAGACTACCTTGGTCAGGTTGGGGCTGCTGCTGAAGGCCCTGGCGCCCACCACGGTGAAAGAGGTCTCCACGAAGATGATGTCTGTGGCATGTGGTGGGATGTCTAGTGGGACGGAGGCAAGCCCCTCGTCTGAGCAGAACACCTCCCGGATGAAGCAGTCACAACCCTGGGGGCAGGGCAGGGTGGGCCTGGCCAGGAGCAGGAGGCAGGCCCAGCGCAGCCAGACTCCGGGAGGCATCTCCTACACCCAAGTGGGAAGGAAAAACAGAAGCAGCACCTTCATCGAGGGCAGGCAGCCCAGTGACCAACACACCCGTCAGAGAGCCAGGAAGGAACTTGCTTATGTTTCTGATAGCTGTTCTCATAGTGCCTCATAGCAGCCTTGCAAGGTCAGTAGGACCACAGTTCTAACCTCCCAACAGCAAGGCTGTCACCTGTATGTTAGTGTCAGGACCTAGACCCTGGTCTCCTGGACTAGCCATGTTCTTTCCAGATTGTAGGGAAGAGGTGGAAAGTGAAAGTGAAGTCATTTAGTCGTGTCCAACTCTTTGTGACCCCATAGACTATAATCTATCAGGCTCCTCCGACCAGGGGATTTTCCAGGCAAGAATGCTGGAGTGGGTTGCCATTTCCTTCTCCAGGGGATCTTCCGGACCCAAGGGTCGAACCCGGGTCTCCTGCATTGCAGGCAGATACTTTACCATCTGAGCCACCAGTGAAAAGGAAAGAGATGGGAACAAGACCAAAAGGCATGGAAGAAAGGTATGAAAGGAGACCATGGGTACTGCGGAATTTTTAAGATAATACGTAAGATATGGACAGATTATTCCTGAGTTGGAAATTTTTAAACCATAACTCTTCCTGAGCTTCCAAACCTCAGCACATTCCAGAACCTAATTATGAGTAGTTCTTCCCATCAGCTCTTTGCATTGCTGAGGCTGAGAGCGGCCACCGGGATATGATGGGCTCTTATCTTGAAATGAGTCTGTGTTCTCCTCAACACTGCTGTCAAAATGTTCCCCTCCCCTCACCAGCACCTTGGAGTCCACAAAACTTTCCAACACTGTATGGACAAGAAGGACCCAGAGGCACATATTCTATAGACCCATAGGTTTTTGTTTGGGGGGTTTGCTTTAAATAAGGGGAGGCAACCAAGTTTATAGTACACTAAATATAAAATTTTTTGAATGCCGGTATCCATTCACAGGTCACAAATTGGTGACACAGCTTACAAGCATATTTCCCTTGCCATTTGATTTTTTTTTTTTTTAATGTGTGAACCACTAGTCGGCATATAGACACTGAGAAATAGCACAGTAAGTGTTTCCAGATTTCAGTATGCCTTAGGGGCACTGGGCTCACATTCTAACATGACAAGACCAACGAGAGCTTAATTGCCCCATCTTGAGGTTTGCACCACCAGGTCACTATTGCTCCCACCCACATCAACATTTAGGTGGCATATAGTGGTTCAAGTTCTGTTCATTGGAATCCCAGTTCATTCCAGTGTTCTAGCTATGTGACCTTGGATGTGTGTTTCAACTTCCTTATCTGTAAATTGAGGATAATAACCATGTGCTAACCATGTTGGGATAATTGGAGGATTAAATGAGTAAATATAGGTAAAGGTTTTAGGAGAGCATCTGAAAGTGTGAGAATTAATAAGCTGTGTTACCTATTGTTAAAGGGTACAAACCACCATCATTACCGAAAAGATTATTTGAACACCAAAAAAAGGAGGAATAACAAAATGCCCTTTGGATAGAATATACTTAGCTTTAAAGACAGAAAGAAGGAAAGGAAGGAAAAAAGAGAAAACCCTCACACTATATAAATCATAATTTTTTCAATTTACCTGTCCTCAGGCAAGAGCTCAGTTGGCTCCCTTTTGGGAGCTTTGGCCCCAAGCACACTTTGCTGACTGCCTCTCCGCTGCCCTCTGCTGGCTGCCTTCTCCATCACAAGATGCAGCTTGGGCCAAAGGGCTCCGCAAGCAAACACAGTGCTTTCAAAAGCCCCGAGACCTCTTCCCATTCACACACTCAATAACCCTCAGTTTTCCCAGGAATTTTTCTGCCTAATCAATAGAGAAGGAACAATTTCTCCCTGAGTAAGCACATAACTTCCTGGAAGCTGCTATGTAAGCCACAGGACGTGGATTTTACACAGTGGTGGGAAGGTCTCTAATAGTGATGGCACCAGCCTGCCATGCAGGACGTACTAGGGAAAGGGACAAGCCTCCTGGTCCTAACCCCCTCCCCAGCGCCCCCCACTGCTAGATCAGAGTTACAGGGCTCAGCTTTAGCCTGAGACTTCATCCTCTCGAGATTGGATGCACAGAATGCAAATAAGAAGCAGAGGGCCTGGCTAAAGAAGGATGGGCTAGCCATGGTCCCCTCCACTCACCCACTCATATCTGCCACCTGGGCTGCCCCCAGACTCCTGCACAAACCCCTGGGGATCCCGACAGAAGGCTTCCCTGACCCCAGGAAGGGGGAGCCTGGCCATGTTTCTCTGTCTCAGCACCAAGCATGGTCCTCTGAAGGGTGGGCTCTCACAGCTGTCTCTTTTGGGAGAAGATAGAATCATTGCCACCTAGGGTGGAGGCATCGCTCTGTGCTCAGCATCCAGTGCGGTGCTGACTCACGGCCGGCTTGGCTAGAGTTTCTTGAACCAACCCCTTCACAGTTGGGATGAGCAGCGTTTGGGGCAGAACTGCCTCTCCCTGGAATGGTTCCAACCTGGAGAGAATGACCACAGCCAGGCATGAACATGGCCTTGAGCCCGCCTCCCTACACCCCTGCCAACCAGAGGGTAAGAGAGGAGCAATTCTTGTCTGTAACGTGCTGTGATGTTGTCAACATGCTGGGCCTCTTCCAGCTAACCCCTTCCGTCTTTGGCTTTCAAAGGGCAGTTTCCAGGAGAAATCCCATTAGGATGGACACGAAGTCCCCAGGGACCATCTGGCCAGCCTCATCAAGAGAACAAGGCCAGCTTCCCAGGGGTCCACAGTGGGCCCTGGGTTAGAACTGAGATCTGGTCTCCCTAATCGCTCCTGCTGGAACAGCTGCAACCAAAGCAGGAGGTGCCCGTGAATGAGGGGTCATGGGGAGACTGTGCCCCACCTACCCCATTCCATGCCTCTAACTTCTAACCCACTGTAACTTGGAAATAATACCCTTTATAATTTTCCAAAAGAGCACATAACTAGAGAATTTAGGACTTGAGTCAAAACTACGGCATCAGAGGCACAGCAAATCAAGTGTAAACAAATCAGCTTAGGCTCAGGCAGTGGTGGGTGGGGGAGGTGGGGGCAGCCTCTCTGATACAGGGGGCTGAACTGAGGGGCAAATCCCACCTGCCAGCTCCTAGAGCTCTCATCATGATCCTCGGCAGATGGAGACATTCCCAGAACAGGGAAACTGGGGCTCCCAGAGCTAGAGCGACTGGGAGCTATAGCTAAGATGTGCGGGCCAGGACCTGTCCCCATGGCCTGAGCTTTCAGCCAGGTGCTTGCAGCGACACCATAAGGCTCCTGGAACAGGCAGACCCCTCCTCACATTTCCGAGACCCACAGTGAACATAAACAAGAGACCCGGCCTACTGCCTGGTCCCTCCTCTTCCCACCCAACTCTCTCCGGTACTATGAGTAGAGAACCCACAGTTGCCCCAGCACCCCACAAGCCTACGGGCATGCACTTCCATGACAAGAGTCGGCTTAGGGAAGATCAAGCTGGGATGTGCCCCACATAAGCCCTGGGTCCTGGGTCCCTGCAGCAGGGTTTCAAATGGGGACACAGCCTCTGGTTGGGCATGCGTCTTTGATCTCACAAACTTCTCACTCTTTGGGGTGCCATGGTAAAAGGAGAGCCAGAACAGGGCCTCTCAAGTTTCAGGGCAAGATCCTCTTGCCCCAGTCTACTGGGGCGGGAGGAAGTGGAGGATACTCCTCACAGTGAAAACACTGATGTTTTCCAAACACTGATGATCCACTCCCAGCCCAAGACTCACTCTCACATTGCTCTAGAATGGCTAAGAGTTTGTGCTCTAATGTCAGACAGTCTGGGTTCAAATCTTATCTCCACCCCTTATTAGCTGTGTGGCCTTGGCTGAATTACTTAAACTCTCTGTGCTTCAATTTCTTTATCTTAAAAATGGCAAACTTTAACACTACCTTCCTCGTGGGTTCTGAGGATTGAGTAAGAAAATGCACTGAAAGCTCCCAACCCAGAGCCAGGCACAAGGAAGACTCTCAGCTCCAGGAGCCCAGGCCAGCCCCAGCTCTGGGCTGAAGAAGGCACAGGAGTCAGCTAAGGAGAAACGGATGGGATCATCCGAGCACCTCTGGCAGACCCGAGAGAGGCCTCTTTAAGCACTTTCTGGCTCTTTCCTCCCAGCCAATGGACACAGGCCAGTGTTTTGTCCTTGGCGTAGTGGAGCTTAGGTTCTGATGGCTCTGGCCAGGATGCCCTGGACTTGGGCCCCTTCCCCAAACCACCCTTGAGAGCAGGTCACCAAGGACTTAGGAGATGGGGAGCACCCCTGCCTAGGTACCTCGGAGGCTGGCACCAGAAGGGACAGTGGGACAGCAGCCGGAAGATTCCAGCTTGTCACCTGACAAACCACCTCTGCATTGCGCAGAGAGCAGCAAGATGCCCACAAAAATGTTCCATGCTTTCAGCAAGCCACAGAAGCCTGGCTTTTTGAGGGTGGAGGAGGTAACTGGTTGCAAATGGACTCTTTCCTCTTCTCAAATTGCGTTTGTGTTGGTGCATTTCTGTGTCATCCACCACAGAGCCCACCCTCGCTCCTTCCAGAGGGTGACGGGAGCTCAGAGCCCAGCCCGAAAGCCCCAGGGACTGGCCCCTTGACTGGGGTATCAACATCAGAGTCTATCTCACCAACACAGTTGGATTTTGCCCTAGGGCTCCAGTACATCTGGGGGCAAGAAGAAGGGCTTTCAAGGTTCCTCTGAAGCCCCTGACTGCCTCACCCAGGTTCCCAGGACTCCATTCTCCTTTGCTCTCAACCAGAGAAATAAGCCAAGTGGCTGAGGCTGGGGGACCAGGGCTGGGCTCCTGCCTCAGGCCCCTCCCTACCAACCAACCCCACCCCCCACGCCCCAACACACACAGTGAAGTAATCCTTCGGAATCCCAGTTTCCGTAATTGTAAATGGAGAACAGTCGTGAAAATAAAACCCACATTACATACTGTTAGGCTGTTGTGGCAATTAAAT